AGATCATATGTCCAGCGCACACCCTCTCGCATGGCCAGAATGTCCAAGTCATTGCCAAAGAAGTTGAGGTTGATGTTCGGCTGGACCTGTGCATTCGAGTTGTTCAGGGTAACTTCACCCTCGGAAAGGGGTCGCAGCAGATCAACAATGACAGTCATGTGGCTACCCTTCTCAGGCATGGGGTAATGCCACTGGAATGCGGAGCTAAACAGGCCGACAAAGTCAAGCTCGAAGTGAGGTTGTCCAGCCGGGCCGAAAGGATCCAGTCCGCCGTTAGCGGCCTTGGCCTCGCGGTAAGCAGGGTACTTCTCTAGACGCTCGTCAATTCGAGGGAATCCAACAAGTTCCAAAAATCCAGAGCTTGCGGGGCCAGTCTTGTCCTTCTGGTAGGTGGACAGTGCCTTGTCATTGAGAGGACCGGGGCGGAGGATATGGTTATCCAAACTGTACCCTTCCTTGACCTCAAGAACGAAAGGCACAATCGGGTGGTCCAACAGATGCTGACCGACGTGAGGGGACTCCACAATGGGGGCGATTCCGTGTTTGGCCAGTTCGCCTGCTGGGCCGACTCCGCTGAGCATGAGAAGTTTGGGAGTCTCAAAGACACCCTGAGACAGGATAACTTCTCGGCTGGCGTAAACGCTGATCTCCTGGTCGACAGTATCGCTTATCACAGTGACACCGGAGCAGATGCGGGTGGCAGGATCGATGAGCAGCTTCTTCGAGTGAACACCGTAGAGGATTGTCACGTTAGGCTTGTTCTTCAGGTAGAGGAAACTACCCTGGCGCTCGCCGTGGTGGATGGTATCAACACAGTGGGTAAGACCCTTCATCTCGCCTGAGTAGATGTCCTCGGTCAGAGGCTCACCCTTAGAGACCCAGGCCTCAGTGAGCGCATCACGGAACGGCTTCATCTCCGGAACCAAGTCAGCATGGGAGATCTGCAAAGGGCCTCCGGTTCCAATCTTGCTCAGTTCGGCCGGATACAGCTTCTCGTCGTCATGGTAGGTGGCGCATTTGCGGAGGTACTCCACACAGGAGTCCCAGTTCCAATCGCGGCCACCGAAGGCCTCCCAATCGTCAAATGTAGGCTTCGAGCCAGGGATCCAGGTGAAGTAGTTGGCACACGAGCTACCACCGAGGGCCTTTCCGCGGGTGTTGGGCTTTTCAACACGCTCATAATCATCGCGCTTGATCATGGTTGTCTTGTAAGACCAGTCGTACTTGCTTCCGCGAAGGGTGAAAGCCTTCGACGGGGTGCTGATTTGCTCGATCTGATCAGGGTTGGGGATGCCAGCTTCGACAACCAGAATACGGACGTCTGGGTTCTCAGCAAGGCGACCAGCAATTGCATTGCCAGCGGTACCACCGCCGACAATGATAAAGTCGTACTCAGAGCCGTTCGAAACGAAAGCCATGGTTTGAGATTGGTTGTTTTTGAGGATAAGAGAATTGTTTGAGAGTCAGGCTTGTTTAATAGTTGTGAGACTGTGGGATTGTGTTTGTGTGTGTTGAGTAGAAATGGGCGAGGCATCGCCTCGATTTTATATTCCACTCTTCATCGCGAGAATATTGCCAATCTGTCTTGCCGCTCTTCCGGGTTACTAGGGACATCTTGGCCAGAGTAGATCCTAAACCCTGAATTGGTAGGGCTGATGGAAGGGTGGCTTGCATGTAACCGTGCATGGAGGTGAAGAAAGGTGTTCTAGAAGGAATGTAAGCTCCAAGAGTGACGTTTTCGATCCCCTCATGAGGGGAAAACCCTCCCCGCACGAGGTGGTCAAATTCTCTGGCCAATCAGAGTCGCGGTAAATGTTACCGGGAACGGCCAGAACTCGGCCTTGGCTCGGTGACCGCCTTTTGCGCCCGGTCGGCATGAGGCTTTTCAAAAATAGCCTTTTCGACTTTAATTTTGTCTTAAGCCCCTCACGTCAAGATGTAACGGACAGATGTTGGAGACTGATTTGGGGTTTCCCTCATGAGGGGAGGTTGATGATAAGGTCTTGTTTCCCCTCTGAGGACCAACCTAATAAAAGGAAGGCTGTTTCCCAGAAGATGGATCATTTGTAGCATACATATTACCAATTGAACTCGAATTCTCCACAAAAACAATTCCAATGACGAACCATACTTTTACGTTGGCAGAAGGTATAGTACCAAATATACTAAAACAACATTCCGACTCTAACACCAGACAGGCCAGCCAATTGCAGACCCATCCGTCAGCACCACGTTACCTACTTTTGGTGGCGGCGGCCTTACGACACTGGGTGACACGCTTCTCATTGAGACACTTTCGCATTTCAACCGCGAGCGTATCCCAGAAAGGTATCAGATCATTCAATTTGATACTTGGAAGGAAAATATATTCTAACGCTAAATAGAGTCGTTCATGCCAAAGCTGCGGGCGCTTGGGGAGAATTTGAGGTTACAAATGACATTTCCGCCCTCACGTCAGCCAAATTCCTGAATGGTGTTGGAAAGAAAACTCCTGTTTTGTTCCGTTTGAGCACCACTGGAGGTGAAAAGGGTAGCGCAGACACTGTCCGCGATGTGCGAGGCTTTTCTGTCAAATTCTTCACAGAGGAGGGTAATCATGATATTGTAGGGAACCACATTGTAAGTGTTCACCCTTGACTCTTACATTTTATATTCTAATGACCCTGAAGCCAGTGTTCTTTGTTCGCGATCCTGTTAGGTTTCCTTCTCTCAACAGAAGTCACAAGAGACATCCTGCCACCAACCGGCCGGATTGGACCATGGTGAGTGCCAATTGACGGGTTCATATTTCGGATGAAGCTAACCGATTAGTTCTGGGATTTCCACGCAAACCAACCGGAAAGTGTTCACGCTTTAATGCACCTTTTTGGCAATCGGGGTATTCCTGATTCCATCCGTCGAGTGACAGGCTTCGGTGTACATACTTTCAAGATGGTGTCGGCTGATGGTGGCTTCCGCTATTGCAAGTTCCACTTCCGCCCAACCCAAAATATCACACACTTCTCTGGCCAGGAAGGTACTCGCATGGCTGGCGCAAACGCCGACTTCCACACTCAAGATTTGTGGGACGCTATTGCTCGAGGAGACTTGCCGGCCTGGAAACTATTCGTGCAGATCATGGAACCCGAACAGGCTGAAACCTACGGCCGTGCTCTGTTTGATATCACCAAAGTTTGGCCCCACAAGGAGTTCCCCTTGATCGAAGTTGGTCAAATGACTCTCAATAAGAATGTGGGTGGCCCTTTATCTTAGAGACAAAGCAAGTGCTAACAACAGCCACAGCCCGAGAATTATTTTGCCGAGATCGAGCAAGCCGCATTTTCGCCTTCTAACATGGTGCCTGGGATTGCAATGACACCTGATCCTAGTAAGTACACACTAATGTTCTCCTCAGAATGGGACAGGGTACTAACACTTTTCGTCTTTACAGTGTTGCAGGCGCGCATGTTCGCTTACCCCGACGCTCAACGATACCGTCTTGGAGTGAACTATACACAGCTTCCTTCAAACCGGGCAATCTGCCCTGTATACGCGCCATTCGAACGCGACGGCATGGGAACTGTGACCCGAAACTACGGTGGTGACCCAAACTATGTGAGGAGTTCACTGGGCACTGGCGTCCCCAGCCAGACTGTTTCCAACGTACGACACACTGAGCGCATCTTGCGCAACGCGGTTCTCGGCCACAATGAGATTCTAGTTGATGACGAGGATTTCCTTCAGCCACGAGAGCTGTGGAACAGGGTATTTGATGAGGCTGAGAGAAGGCAGTGGGTGTCAAATGTGTCGGAGACTTTGGAAGACGTGCCTGATCAGCTCAAGGAGGCTGTGGCTGCAATGTTCAGCAAGGTCGATCCCCGCATTGGTCAATTGTTGGAAGCGAAGGCCAAGAACAGTTCGCGCCTTTAGCTGTTTGATTCTTTAGACTTTGGACCTTGTCCCGTTATACATCTAGACTATATTATATAGATTATGCTACTAGACACTAGACGCCTTAACATACCCTTATTACCGCCCATCACCGAGCTCTTGACATTCTATCAGTCTCTCGCACGCATATGATGATACATACGACCATAGGGTGTGGAAAACAGGGCTTCCCGTCCGCTCAGCCGTACTTAAGCCACACGCCGGTGAGTTAGTAGTTGGGTGGGTGACCACCAGCGAATCCTCACTGTTGTATGTTTTTGTTCTTTTTTGTATATATACTTTTTTCCATAGAAAAAGAAAGTGTAGTAGCTCTTTTCCTTTTCTCGGGTTTGCAGTGTTATTTCGCAATGCAGGTGGCAGATTGACGGGGTGAATAGTTGGCGAAGAGCGATAAGCGACTTGAGAATTCCTAGGATATATCAAAGGCATGGGAGGTGGTGCCTAGGGATGCCAGAGCGTTCGATTATCGGGTCATGTCCAGATATCGCATTCACGTCATTCTCGTGTATGTGGAAGAGCCACCTAAGGTTGATACGATCAGCCGAACATTATCGACCATGAGAATCTGGAGGCCTGCTGCCAGCATGCATACAAGTCACAACAACATCTAATCAAGAATGATGTAGTCATTAAACCTGGGAGATGACGAAATTAGCGCCCCAGAGCAAAAATCCCAGCAGAGATCTACACTGCTGGACCTTTGCCTAGTTAGACCAAAAAGCAACCCCATATCACTCACATATTCTGTACCGTCTTGGATTCACCATTGAAGGCTTATATTTCCGATCTGGATCCACACTCACTCGGGGAGAGTGTGATCGCCATCGCAATACCGGTTACTCAAAAACAAATATAACAATATCCAGCCTTCTGCGAATTGGACACCGTTAAACGTTTCAACCCCCTCAAATGAATACCCCTGGTAACTGTTGGTCTAAAGTGCTATAGAGACATCAAGACTAATCTTTCGCTAAACTCCCCCAAATCCATTTTCAGGCATCCTGATATATCTATAAGTTGAGAATAAATGAGATACACCTAGAAGAAAGTAGCACTATGGAATTTATAAACTAGGCAAAGCTAGTCTGATGTCTATATGACTCGTCACCATTAGTAGACTGGCCTGCATCAACGCGAGTCACTTCAAACTCTTGAAGAACATGTACAACACTCAATGGAGACATGGGGACATCATCATTGGTGGGTGCTTCGATATCCCCACCAGACCGCGACAGATTCTGGCTATACCCCTCTTTTGCCTTTTTCAGAATGGGCTCGTTCGTATCATTGTAAGCTGCTTTTACAGATGAGCTCTGATTCTGTGAAGCTACGAAGAGCTGCCGGAGAGAGGCGACACAGGAGACAATAATGGCTACCAAGTGAAGATAAGTATTAGGAAAATAACGCGGTAAGAACCTAAACAACGTACCAACATCCACCTCAACAAAGCTCCAGAAACATAGCCAGTCAATATTCATCTGACCGTCATAGGTCATCCCGACGGCCACTCGGAGTATAGCGGTGACCATAATGAAGATAGTCGCCGAGAAAATGCTGAGCAGGATGAGCTTTTTGCGGAGCGAGATTCGCGTTTTCCACAGCGCAAGGAAGGGAATAGACAGAACTGAAATTTAAAATATTGATAAGTTAAAGGGCAAGCTTAATTTTCCAGTTTATTTGCAATTATCTTACTCATCAAGTCCGCGGTAACATCTCCAGCACAGTTGGCCCAGAGCATGCGATTCTCATAATGAACGTGATTAGGCTGGGGACATTCAGCTGCAAAGTCCAGTGTCAGGGCAAATCATTCCGAATTTTAGCTCGCTTGTTCTTACTGATGATATAATCCTGCCCTCCGCCGAAACTGCATTTGTATTCGATATCGGCCACCGATGCAATAAAAACACTCGCTGTACAGAAAAGGACCACGAACCACCAGATACGGAGAGACTTGACCTTGGCACTGATTCGGTAGAAGAGTGCCATGAATGAGAATTTAACACACCACAGCGCCGAGTAAAATAATATCTCAAACGGAGCATTAAAGCGCATGAATGTATAGTACCTCGGAAGGAATTCAAGGGTGAATGGCTTTGTGCCAGCGCTGATCGCGTATAACTCGTAAAGAATCTTCCCCAGGATTTGCCAAACGACCACGGCTATGAGTATAATAATCCATGAGAGGACAACGAGGGAATCATCCAGGAATAGTCGACGAAATGCGGTAATTTGAGCATAGACACGAAATACAACAAATATAAACGACATGCCCGTGAGAGCCCATACAACGCCCTATCAGCACACGGTTAGTTAGACATACAAAACAGTTGCATAAATACGCTGGATACCCACCAAGAACACTGGCTCTGGGACTCTGCTGCGTTGATCATCAATCTCTGCCATTGTTAATATAGAGTTGGTAAAGAAATTCTAGCTAGATTGTCAAACGACAAGATGGTAGAATTATATCGACAGTGAAACTATATTGCTGGCTGTTTAGATGTACTATTCTTTGTTGATCCCTTGCCAGTGTTGGTATGCCTACCCTCTACATAATTTGTGCCGAGCTTATTTCTATTGGCGCGGCTAAAAGACATTTTGCTTAGGTTCTTTGAGGATATGAAGTTTGATACCTCGAGCCATGTGCATTTTACTCAAAAGGAAGGAACTCGGACTTTAATATTAACGCCACCATTGTCAACGCTATAAACATCATGACCCCGGCGAACAATTATGGTTGTGTGGTCTGGATGTGACCATTAAGAACTAGTTTATTGTACGTTTTGGCACTCAATTCTTTAAGATAATTTCATTGGCAAGTATTTCATCTCCATTCAAAGAACGTGAATTATGAATATGCTTCATATAAGGTGAAGTCCATGTATTCTGGCCTCCCGGAATATCTGAGGTACAGCCCACTTGATCTCTGTTAAGCAGGGTGCAGCGACCCATCCCACCTGGGAAGCAGTTCACTTCTTATCAATGTGGTGGCTCAATCACAGGGGTGTGGAGCGAAAATATAACCACAATGATTGCACAACTAACCGAGAGTTCAGGGGTGTCAAAGAAACCACGTTGCTACCGGGCCGCTCCACACCTCCTTGAGACAAAGAAGGAAAACTCTCATCCAGCTTGGACCCCAAGGAAATGAAGTTGGACCTCGATAACATTCGGATTCTTCTGGACAAGCAAAATTCTTCATGTATTCATCGGTAAATTCAACCATGCGCCCACAACCATGGTGATTCCCACCCTTTCAAGTGATGACGCCTCAACTGCATCTTGCCTATTGCCGCTGTTGAGTGGCGTACATCGGCATTGCAACAAACTACTTACTGATTTCTTTTAAAATTTGCTGTGCAGTACCACCAAAGATCTATGAGGGTATTTTCCTAGAACAGGCGCGATCAGAAGCACCAAGGTCTTTCAGAGGTAAATGAAACGATTGATCTGAACCGCGATTTACCGAATCTGGCATAATCGCCATAGACTATGGATATAAATTAGTCACCGGACAGGTATACCCATTTAGAGCTAAATCCAAAACATTTGCGTAGAAGCTCTAATGAAATTCCAACAGAAGGTGCGCACGGGGGTTGCTACGATAGAAAGATTCTTTTGGCGCATCAAGGCATGGACACCTTTCAACCCAAGGCACAGTCTCAAGCGAAATATATCAGCTAGTGTGCGCCATAGTGGAAGCCACGACCAAAAATACCAATGCGACAAAGAAAGTATATTATCCAGATTCTACAACCTCGCTGAGGTATTCCTCGCCCACCGAGCTGTTCCTTCTTCTCTCCGTCTTGTGGAGACGTCCATTTCATCAGGATAAAAGTGAGCCTGTAAATTTGGAATATTTCCAAGGGCGGATTTCCGAGACCATAATCCCCTAAAGGGAGATAGCTCAATAGTGAGGTTGGAGCCCTATACTCGTGGACAGATCTGGAAGGTGGGGACCCATGCAACTACAGAGTGGGGCGTGTCCCACTCTGAGCTGACTTGTTGCCTGATATTTCAGGAACAAAGTCTATGTCGGATTGGTCTGTATTGTAAATGTAGGGGTCCAATCAGTGGTATTCAACTCTCTGTATTTCTGTATCGGCTCTTGGTACAATTTATATGGAGCCATGATTACATAACATTAATTACAAAAATGTGTAGGATTAATAAATCCCCCGGTATGCCGGTCGTCATGCTCCGACACACCCCCTCAGCTATCCCAGTATGGGATTGCTGGACTTGTTAGATCGGCATATTGATCTCCATGGTTTAATTGACTAGGCCATTAGATAGCCTATGTCCACCATCCTGAGCATCCTTAGGAAGCTCTCATGCTTCTGGCGAGATAGCATCTTTGTGAGTCCATCTGCGACCATGCTCGCCGTCGGCACCCATCGCACCATTATGCGTCCTTCTCTAACCTCTTGCCGAAGCCAATGATGATGAATATCGACATGCCGAAGCTTCGTTTCGAAGGCAGTGTCCTCACTAGTAAGTAGGCTGATCGTTCTCTCGTTGTCGCAGTCGATCGTCATATTGTGGGAGGGTTCAAAACCGAGGCTTTTTAGTAGTCGACGCCACCATTGAAGTTGCTTCCCTGTCTCTGATAGGCCTAGCAGCTCTGCTTCAGTGGTTGACGTTGTCACGGTGGGTTGCTTGCTCGCTTTCCAGTCAACTGGTCCACCATAAGCTTGACAGATGTAGCCTGCAGAGCTCTTTCGATCTGGGTGATCTCCGTATGAAGCATCGCTTGCGAACTGTATGGAATCGATTCCAGTGCTTACTGCGTCTGCACTATATTCAATAGCTAGGTTCCGGGTAGTATATAGGTAACTGATGACCCGGTCAGCTGCTTGGTGGTGCTGGGGCCCTGGATTCGTCAAGAACTGAGCTAGTCGAGCGGTGGCCTTTGCAGCATCTGGCCTAGTGATAGTGGTGGCATAGCCTGCGGATCCAACCTTCTTTTGATAGAGAAGGATCTCCTTCGGGGTGGCTACGCCTTGGTAAGGCGTCAATTCGTCAACTGGTAGTGGCGTATAGACAGGTGGTCGATCTGTCAAATTGTAGCGGGTAGCAATGCTTGTCATATAGCTATCTTGACATAGCCAGAGCTTCTTCTGCTTCCTATCGCGAATGATTCGGATATTGAGAAACCATGATGCTTCTCCATGATCTGTCAGCTCCCAGTGGGCTTCTAGATCTCGCTCCAATTGCATGGCTCTTGCCTTAGCATTTGCATGGCTAGCAATTAAGATATCATCCACATAGAAGAAGACTATTAGCCCTTCTCCGACGAAGACACAAGGGTCTTCTGGTGCTTGTTGCAGACCTAGTTTTCGGAGTACACTAGCTGCTTCTTGTTGCCAAAGACGTGGCGAGATCCGTAAGCCGTACAATGCTCGACGAAGCTTCCAGCATTTACCTAGGGACTGGAACCCTTCTGGCATCTGCGTATACGTCGGTTTCTCTTGGCTTAGCTTGCTATTCAGAAATGCAGTGACAGCATCTCGCTGACGGAGGTCTAGGTCAAAGGCAGCGACTAGTGCAAAGATCATTCTTGCTGTTCTTGCTGCTAGCGTAGCAGCTCTCTTTTCTTCATAGGTAATCGTCTCAAGATCCCCACGAACACAGATTCGAGCCTTCAATTTCAAAAGGTAACCGTCCTGGTCGAATTTGTATGCAAAAACCCATAGTAAGGGAAGGATTTGTATCCCTCGATCCTTTGGCTTTTCAATGACTTCGAATGTCTCTTTTTCAGATAGAGAGTGGATCTCTTTCTTCATTGCTGCGAGAAAACCTTGCTGAAAAGGATGATTTATGACATCCTTCCAGTACTTGGGTGGTGGTGGGAGATCATCTCGATGGCGGCGAGCGTTTGGTTTCTCGGCGTATAGACCAGCTGCAAATGCATGTAGTAGAGCCGGTGGCTCTTCTTCGTCAATACCCTGTACTATAGTGGTTGCATATGCAAAATCGTCATCTTGTTTTGCTTTGCGTATTCGACGTCCACTTAGTATGTTGCTGGCATCTATATTGCTGGAGATCTCTCTGCTTGGTGCTAGCAGTTCTGCCTGGAGCTGTCTTTCTAGCTCATTTTCCACCTCTCTATTGGGTTCTTCATTAGGTTCTCCATTGGCTTCTTCATTGGCTTCTTCATAGGCTTCTTCATGGGCCTGATCTTCACTGAGCAGTTGATCATCTAGATCATGCGTATCCACCCCCTGATCAGGGCCAGTTTCCACCCCTTGCTGTAAGCCAGTTTCTTCATTTGGTGGGGTTAATGGTGATGGATCTTGATCCTTCTGTATGTCCTGGATCTCACCGGCTTCTTTTCTGACCGAGGTCAGAAGTATAGGTGGTAGGCTTATTGGGGTAGGCATTAATGCCTGCCTGCTCACCCCCTGAAGTGGGGTGATCTCTCGGTAGTCAACCTCACTTAGCTGAATATCTTGTGAAGTATCTGGTAGAGTATCTGGTAGAGCATCTGGAAGAGCATCTAGAAGAGCATCTGGTAGAGCATCTGGAAGAGCATCTGGTAGAGCATCGTCGGTTTCATCTTGTCGGTTTTGATGCTCACTTTCCGGCGTACTAGTTGCTTCCTGGCTAGCGATCTGATGGTTGATGATTTGCGCCACTTCGTCGGGCGTAATCTCTTCTGGCTCTCTCACTAATGGTAGTGGAATAGGCTGAGATTTCTCATAGTCCGGCGAGTATTTACGTGCTTCATCAATGACTGCATCTCGTATATACCTCACTTTCCCGCTGTGTGGAAACCAGATTTTGTAGATATTAGATGCCAAGTATCCGACTAGGAAGCCGACCTCTGCTCTTGGATTCATCTTATCTGACTGGATCTGCCTCTCAATGCGGCAGTACGCCAAACTTCCATATAATCTAACATTTGCTAGATTGATCTTCGGGGCTGTTGGAGCAAATTCTCTTCTTACTTCTTCCCATGGTATTAACCACTTGTTCTCAGAAGCAATGTATGTAGGGGTACGGTTCAATAACCACACTGCAGCGCTTGCGAATTCAGGCCATAGGTCTTTCGGAAGCTTGCCTTCAAGAGAGAGCATACGCATACGGGTAATGATCATCCCGCCAGATCTCTCGGCATACCCATTCATCTCTGAGTGGCCGGGTGGAGTATGATATATCAAGATACCATCGCTTGTCAAACTGTGCTCCGCTGTTTTGCCTGCTGCAGCTTCATTGTCATAGTGAAATGCCTTGATAGGTAGATTCCACTGATTCCTTGCTAGCTGTACGAACTGGTTGATCGCCAGCTGGCATTCAGGCTTCACTTCATGTGTCATTATCCAATGGAATCGTACTCCTTCCATATAGAAATGAGATATCCATCGGTGTCTATTGTATGCTAGCGGCAGTTGTATGAGATCAAAGTGGATCCTTCCAAATCGTCCAAAAGTACGTCCTACTGGCCGGCGAGAGATCTGTTTTGGTGCTCTCCCAATATGACAGGTTTGGCATAATGAAGCTTCTTCTTGCTCTGCTTCCTGGAGGACTATACCATCTACCATAGTAGCAAGCTTAGCTACGGCACGGGGCTCAATATGAGCAAGTCTTCGGTGCCAGACGTCGGGGGATGCCTCTGATTTCTGCGGCTTTACTGACGTTCTTGATACTCTTGGTACCGGTACTAGTGAGCTTGCGCTTACGGCATATGCTTGTTGCGGTAGAACCTCTCCTGGTTCATCGAAAATCCAGAGGTTAAACTGGTCCCATAGATGTACATTGACAACAGGTAGATCCTTTGGATCTCGGATGCAGTTTGTACGTTGACACCAGGTGCCCCCCTTCTTCTTTAGCATCGCGTACGACACTAGATTTGTATGGAAGCTAGGCGAGTAGAGAGCATCACTCAATGTGATTTCCATTCTCCCTTTCTGTGGATGCTTGCCGACTAGTCGAACTTTGCCTCTCCCTAGCACCTGCGTAGTACTGTCACCAGTTGTCAAATCTATGACTTCCGGCGTAAAATCAATAAACAGTGCTCTGTTATTGCATACATGTGAACTGGACCCAGTGTCAAGAATCCATCGATTGCGGAGAGAGAGCTCGCCAGTCTTTGCAGCTGAGAGTGCATGCTTGCCAATCTGTATAGCTTCACTTAGTAGCTTGCCTTGGTGCTTGCCCTGGGGCTTGCCCTGAGGCTTGCTCTGAGGCCTGCTCTGAGGCCTGCCCTGTTGCTTACTCTGGTAGGTGGTGGCGAAGCTAACGTGGTTTGCAGATTCATGATGCTTTGATTTAGCTTCATTGACAGCTTTGTCGACCCATTGCTTCCACCCTGGATCATTTGCTAGCTTCTTTCTAGCTCTCTCTAGCTTCCCTTCGTCTAGGGTATATCCTTCTGGGCGTATAGCTTCATTCATGAGCCAGCAGTTGGCCACCTTGTGGTGTGGATGACCATTGCCACATGGACATTTTCTCTTCTCGAATGGAAGCTTCTCTTGCTTCGCTTCCGGCTTTGCTTCTCGATGACCTTGCCAGGTTGAAAAAGCACTTTTTGGAGCATTAGTTGAGGTCACAGTTTTGACGCCTATCTCCCGATTCATTGCACGGAATGATTCAAGAAGATCTCGAGTGTCATATTTCTTCTTATCCATAACAATCTCTTGGTATTTTCCTTGCCACCAGATTGGCAGTACCTCTTTAACTGCATGTAGGAAGTCTCGATTGGAATCTGCATCGCTAATGCCGAGGCTAATAGCTTGCTCTCTTAGTGAATTCCACTTTTGAAGCCACTGCTCAATATCACCGGTTGGTTTCTGCATGGCAAAGACCTTCCAATTCATACGGATTTCTTCTTCGTACGCCGTTGACCGAGCAAATCTAGTCTTTAGGTATACAAGCCTCTCATACGGAGTACGATATGTGATCAGAGCAAGGTGATGCATTGGGTCGAGGTAGGTAAGGATGTACTCGTTGACATCACTTAGTCCTTTTGCTTGCTTCTCCCACTTCGTGTACTTCATTTTATACACGTCCATTCGATCTCGCCAAATCCTTCGATCCTTGTCATCGCCGTCCTCTGGGTATTCCGGTTCCACCGGTTCTTGGAGAGGTATAGATCTTATTGCTTGGGATTCGGTTGTCGTCGGGGGATCTGGGTTGCAAAGGTCCCATACGTTCTTTTGCATGGCATATAGCTGCACTTTTGCAAACCAAGTGAGCCACTGCGGCGAGTCCTTCAGTTTTTCGCCCTTCATGGCGGAGAGAATTGATGCTGCCTCCATTGCTGGATTCAGGGGTAGCTGGGAATAGCTTCACAATTGCTAATTCAGGGGTAGCTAGGAGGTTTCAAGGGGTAGAAAGCAGGCTTCTAGTAGTGTACTAGATACTATATCTCAAATAGTAATGCTTTCTTCGATGCGAACCGGGCTCATAACTGTCGGATTGGTCTGTATTGTAAATGTAGGGGTCCAATCAGTGGTATTCAACTCTCTGTATTTCTGTATCGGCTCTTGGTACAATTTATATGGAGCCATGATTACATAACATTAATTACAAAAATGTGTAGGATTAATAAATCCCCCGGTATGCCGGTCGTCATGCTCCGACAGTCTACCTGCATCACTAACTACGTAACAGGTAGGTATGTATGGAGGTTCTATATTCTTCCTGTTCTCTTTTCTTCTTCCTTCCACTTTTTTACTTTCTATAGGACTAAATTTCATGAAGCCACATATTTAATCAAATCCCCGAGATTTTGGAGGCGCTCAGGTTCGCAATGAATGCTGACCGTCTAAACAGGTAACTACCAGTGGATTATCAGCACGGATCTACCACTTCAGCCTACCTGGCAATACTCTATAGAGATTGACACAAGATAAAGTTCTATCCACCAGCCCTAGCTTTAGCGATGAGTGTATATCTAGGTAGAGTCTATGGGTAGGCTCGATTTGAAAACCGTGGGATATATCAGAGATTTGACTCAAGGAACCTTCGGGCCGATCATGATAGTTTCACTTTCCCAAGTGTCGGTTATTATTCGGCGCAAAAGAAGATTGCGATGAGTAAGCGCATACCTTAACCTTTGCATTATTGACCGCTTGTCAGAAGGATATGGTGGGAGCCCAGTGGACGTGAAAACCCCCTCGTGAAAGCCATGGCAAGCCATGCGTGTATTGGAGGAGTATGGTGAATACTATTCAATCGACAACAATTGACTTTACTTAATGTAATGCCAGTCGTAGGCATATGTTGCAAAAGGACCTCGGCAGCTCCGAGTGATTGGACCCGCGGGCGGAACCTGTGTTACGCTATAACCTTTATCTGCATAGGTGTGTTGCGACCTTGGACCACCTGCACATATTACATCGTGGAAGGAACTATTTCGGAGGAAAGAGCAAACCACTCCAGTCCCAATGGATTGCGCCATCGTACAATCCATGGCAGATATATCCTCTGTCTGCTATCTCTTCTGTGTTTTCTTCTTCCCTTCCTCATTTCCTGAGTTTTGTTGTTCCATCTAACGTGACACAAATAGCACAGACTCAATCAATATTCCTCATCATACTGTATTACAATCATGTCTGATCCACCTACACACGGTGTTGGTATCGTGGTATCTACCCCGGAGCCGATCGACGAGAAAGCTGTCACGGTTCCAGGAAAGGATACGGCCCAAGTCAGTGGCAACGAGTTGTTTGTGGAAAATGCCTGTGACTCTGCAGATGCTGTCATTATCACTGGAGCCGATGTGGCCTCTCATATTTTGCCGATGCGAGATGATTTCGACCCTACTTTGACATTTCGAGCTGCTATTCTGGGCTCTGGTCTCGCGGCCTTTCTGGCTGTCATGACCCAGATTTACACCGTAAGTGAACCTGCACATCGCTTCATTACTTATTATCCCAGGTCTCCTAATATATGTGTTCTTAGTTCAAACCGACCCAAGTAAACATTTCAGGTGTTTTTCTCGTTCTTGTTTCCTACTTTATCGGTACCGCCTGGGCCAAATTTCTCCCCCGCGGTGATAGGTCTGAGGCGAGATGGAGAGAACAAAATGGGCAGGTCGGGCTCCCTTGGTGAATCACTGTAATTAAGTTTATGAACTCTGGGCCGTTCAGTCTTAAAGAGCATTCGATCTCCGTGATCACTGCCACGGCAGCCGGGTACGTTACGGATGACACGGCTGTGTTTGCGGCACAAAAGCTGTTCTACGATCTTCCTCTGAGCGCCCCTACTGTCATCCTGGGAATTATCTCTATCGGTCTCTTTGGCTGTGGCCTCTGTGGATTCATGCGGTTCTTTGCTGTCTGGGATGTTGAGGCTGTTTATTGGGGTAGCCTGCCTGTTGTGAAAACTCTCCAATAGCTTCACTGGGAACAAATCGAGAACTCAAGCCACTGAAATATTTCTGGTATGCTTTCACGGGTATTTTTCTTTATGAGATCTTCCCTGCATACATATTTCCATGGCTAAACTCTGTCTCCATTCCGGTATGTACTGCCTTCTAGCAACATCCCCTCCACTCTATCTGACTAGACTACAAAATCTTAGTGTTTAGCTTCACAGAAAGCAGCCGGCAAGAAAGGTGCCATACTCACCAACCTTTTCGGCGGTGCTACTGCCAATGAAGGCTTGGGTCTCTTCTCTTTGTCCTTTGACTGGCAATATGTGAGTTGGCACATGATGCCCAAGTGATACTGCATACTAACTAACGAGGCTTCTGAACTCAGATCACATCATCTTCAACTGCTAATCCTCTTAAGTTAGTACTTCATACTTTCGTGGTGGAATTTGCGCCATAGTGATGATTGGTATCTACTTCGGAAACGGCTGGGGTTCAAGATCACTCCCATTAATGCCGACCAACCTGCTCATGGCCAACGGCACAAAATATCCAGTGAGAGAAGCTTTTCCCGGTGGCTTACTCGACAAATCAGTCATTGAAAAGCATGAACTACCCCAGCTTAGTGAGTCCTTTGCATTTGGTCTGTTCACGGCCAATGCTGCGGTGAGTGTAATACCCCTACCCTAAACTCAGACACTCACGGGGTTACAGATTGGTGCCCTGATTCCTCACTGCATCCTCTTCTGGGGCAAAGGTATTTGGAGGGTATATCGACGCGCCAGGGAAGGTAAGCATGATGATCCGCATCACACCCACATGGCCAAGCACTGCAAGGACACCCCATGGTGGTGCTTCGCCGGCATTATCGTCTTGAGTTTTGTTCTTGGTCTTATCGTAGTGATCAAAGAGAAGATCACTCTTCCGGTCTGGGCGTACATTGTTGCGCTAGCACTAGCAATTTTCATTTCGCCTTTCGTGAGTATCCTCGAAGACACAGCTTTGCAAATTCTCTGACCGATATTATGTTCTAGAGCGTCATTTTCTTTGCTCGCTTCGGCAACGGTATTGCCACCAATAACCTGTCGAAGATGCTGGCTGGGCTCATGCTTCCCGGGCGCCCAGTTGGTAACATGTATTTCGCTGCTTGGTCGCACAATATTGTCATATCTTCAGTCTCAGTGTCCACTGATCTCAAGCTAGGCGAATACCTGAAAATACCCCCCAGAACCATGCTTTGGGCCCAAATGTATGGCATTGTACTTGGTGGATTTATCAACTATGCAATTTTGTCTTCCATCATCTCAGCCAATCGGGATCTCCTTATTGAAGGCAATGGAAACTCCTCCTGGAGTGGTATGACAATGCAAGCTTTCAACACGAAGGCGGCCTACTGGGCCTTGGCTCCCTATTTGTACAAGCTTGGTGCGAAGTACGAGATGATTCCTATTGCTCTAGCTGTTGGTGCTGCTGCGGTGGTTGTTCGTAGGCTTTGCTACCAGGTCAGCAAGCCCAAAACAGCCCCAAGATTCTTCAACTCGTTGATCCTGACCCATTTTTGCGTTTTAGTTTATTCCCAAAGTCGGACAGCTTGACCTTTCGGAAATTAACCTCCCACAATTTATCCAGTACGCTGGCAATATCTCAACCCAGCCACAGACGTGCACCATTCTTAGTGGATTACTCTGTGGCTTATTTACCCAGGCCTACCTCCGGAATTACCACCCACGCATCTTCAGAGACTACTCATACATTATTGCGGGGGCGTTCGACGCCGGGAGCCTTTTTGTCATCTTCATTCTATCGTTCGCCGTGTACGGAGCTGGTGGACCATCTCATCCATTCCCGTTGTGGTGGGGAAACAACCAGGAGGGCCACGTTGACTGGTGTCCCATCTCAAAATAGACAGGTCCCAGACAGCGGCATGTGATGGGCGAGTACAGTCATGGAATGGGTTGAGCACAAATATCTTTTTCTGATCCCTTCACCCATGTTTTATCTCCATAGAAGGCTGGTCATGATCGCAAGCTCCCAGTGAATGGACGCACGGCGGATCCTAAGCTTTAACGCAATGCACCCGCCATGGTTATTGTTTTATGATGAATCGAGTATCCCATCGCTACAGTGGTCTTTTTCTCGATCCGAATTTGACCACATCTTGTGGACATGTAGCCCTGTGGTACGACACCGACTTTGTATGCATTGTAGGATAGTCTTTCATAACAACTCCGGTGCATTACTTCAAATCCGAATATTAGGAAGCTAGAAAATATATACCAAGCAACTACCGAGGAACCGAGTATGAGTTTGGATATGAAGTAGGCATAGGTGATCTGTGTAAACATTTGCCGGTGACTGAAAGGCGAGGTTGGTCCTTTACGCATCACGCAATGGTTGCAGTAAAAGGTAAATCTCAAAACGAGATAAGCATCGATCGATAATATTTAAGCGATGTTAAAGCACCAATAACAAGAGATTCGTTGAATGATAAAACATTAGCCCAAATGGCGTGTCTAAATCTCCGAATGATGCAAGTTGCTTGGACCCCGCCCCAAAGGCTAACCAGACATGTGTCAGCATTATCCCACAAACCATACATACTTATTGCTGCAAGAACATGGAAGTATATGTGACGCTAATTGTATATGCCAGGCGCTATTCCAGAGCTAAGTTGTTTGGTTTGCAATTGTCTCATTCACGCCTGCGGGCACAACATAACAACTCTTCCTAGGCCAGAATTGCGTGACAGCAATTGCAACAACCCGTACTTTCTCCAGAACTATAAAGGCCGAAGTAGATATCTTCACGATGCTATTCGCAATCATCTTCGACAAGGTTCCGCATTTGTCTCTGCCTTCAATCTCGAAAGATGTCCATAGAGGAAAAAAGACAGCGCAGGTTGCTGCTATTAGTGCGGACGGATCAGACGAAGAGGGGCAGAAGAGTGAACTACACAAAGGAGAAGGTACCTTTGAGGCCAGTGAAGGCCATCACTTCTACCGTCCCATTGACAGCTATGAAGGACTCCATCGCTGGGATCCCAACTTTCAATGGACGGAGACAGAGGAGAAGAAAGTCGTCAGGAAGGTCAGTTAACTATTCTATGTCACGATCCAATTGCCAATTGACTAAATTCGGATAGATCGATGCTCGTGTCTGCACGTTTGCCTGTGTCACCTTCTTTGCATTGCAGCTAGATCGAGGAAACATCAGCCAAGCACTCTCAAGTACCTTTCTACAAGATCTTGAAATGACGACCAACGATTACAACCTGGGTCAGACAATCTTTCTAGTCTGTTTTTTATTGGCTGAGATGCCCTCCCAGCTACTATCCAAGAGAGTCGGGCCAGACCGTTGGATTCCTATTCAAATTGTTTCATGGAGTCTAGTCGCAGCTTGCCAGGCCTTTTTAACTGGTCGGGGCTCATATCTGGGCTGTCGAGCTCTGCTGGGGTTCCTAGAAGGCGGTTTGTGAGTATTCGCATTTCGCAAAATCTTAACATGGAACTAACCACCGGTTGTAGTATACCCGACACAATTCTTTTCTTATCATTCTTCTACAAGTCTAGTGAGCTGCCGAGAATATTGACAGCTTTCTGGATTTCTTTCACCATCGCTGGAATCATTGGTTCATTCCTAGCCTTTGGCCTCCTTCACATTACCGATGCCGATGGCAGCGGTGCCTGGAGATATCTATTTGCGTATGAAGGTCTTATAACCGGCGTCATTGGAATCATTGCGTATTTCTGGATGCCAGCATCTCCCGTACAAACCAAGGGGGTTTCCGCGGAAAGGATGGATGGTTTACGGAGCATGAAGAGAAGATCATAGTGAATCGAGTTATCAGGGACGATCCTAGTAAGGGCAGTATGCATAATCGACAAGCCGTCACCCCACGGCTCTTTTGGGAGTCGCTCAAGGATTACCATATGTGGCCCATTTACGCTCTCGGTTTGATTTGGATGATTCCGACGAGTCCAGCGCAAGGCTATCTCACGCTACAGCTACGATCCCAGGGATTCACGACATTCCAGACCAATTTGTTGGTAATTCCATCGGCTGTCGTTACGATTATCACCATGATAACCATTACCTGGGTTGCGGAGCGCACAAACCAGCGCCTGCTTTGGGGTGTGGGAGTGGAATTCTGGAACCTAGTCCTGCTGATTGCACTGGAGGTACTTCCTGAAAAAAGCATGCCCTGGCCGCGTTGGGCGATACTTACACTTCTTGTTGGTTCGCCGAGTATTCATCCTGTTGTGGTGGCGTTGACTTCGCGGAATGCCGGATCTGTCCGGACTCGAACTGTTGCTTCTGCATTGTATAATATGTCTGTACAATTGAGCAGCATTGCCAGCGCTAATGTGAGTTTTAGTCGTTGTCTTTCTGGTCCTTCCTTTTTGGTTACCGATGGCTAGGAAATACATTCACTACTTGGGATGCTAACAATCTTGAACAGGTGTACCAAGCAAAGGATGCGCCGTACTATAAAAATGGAAACAAGGTTCTTATCGCGATGGCTGTCGTCAGTGGATTCCTTTTTGTGCTCGCCAAGGTCTACTACGATTGGTGGAATAAGTACATATCTCATGCAAACATTAACATGGAGCATACTTGCTGACTTACGTACAGACATAACTCTACAAAATGGGACGCTATGACGAGCGAGCAAAGAGAACTTTACTTGCGTGAAAACCCGGTATTGACCAACAAGAGGTTCGTTAGCGCTGTAGGGTATAACTACTTCTAGTGTCTACCAACTAACTATCTTGTATAGAATTGACTTCCGGTTTGCTCGTTAGATATATAAATCTGCAGGATGAATTCCAAAGATTCGATATCATTCAACGCTTCAGTGTTGCGATTGAATAAACTTCAGGTCAATCCATAGTAAGAGGGACAAAGATGCGTTGTTCATAACAAATCGATTAGAATATAATGACTTTGTCAAAAAAGGAAATTTATTTAAGTTCTGAATTTATTTAAGTTCTGATTATCAATCATAGTTTCAGCACTGGAGTAACCGGAAGGCACTAATTTGACAAGAACTTGATGTACAGGCTCGTGTGGTTAGTCACATATTGCATCATTATGGCTCAAATGAGGTTGTCTTGCGGCTATCTTAGCGCCATGCATTCATATTACAAGATGTCGTCAGTGAGGGGTTTGGATATGTTTTTCTTCGGAGATTCTACAGTTCCCAATAAAATCACAATTCATCCAAAGTGTATAAATCATTGTGTGTGCATGATTCTAAATTGGGCTTGTCGAAACGAAGCATGTACGATTGTATCAACCCTTTATTATCTCGAAGTATTTGAATAGTTATCTAATAGAACCCTACTCCTTGGGTTCACCCTCCTGTGGGACGTAAGGCGTCTCATAAGGGCGTTCTGCCTGGGGGGTAATGCGCGCCAAGTGGCGACGCTCCCCAGTCGTCCAGTCAACAATCGCAGAATGGGCCGTGACACGGTTCTATATTGCATGCACATTAGTATTGTGAACTGTTGATGAATAGTTCAAGAGACAACTCACATCCCATACAACAACAGTCTTCGGGGCCCATCGAATACGAGCTTGATAGTCAATGCCACGACCCACGTGGGCCAGTAGGAACCCTAGAAGGGCATCGCTCTCTTCCTTCTTAAGTCCGACAATGCTGCGAGTGACTAGTCTTGGTGTAAGTACTGATTCCTTTTTCCAAGAACACGGGACGATACTTACAGCCACCATTGACGAAAAGCGCTTTCTCGCCAGTCACCGGATGGGTTCGAATAAGAGGATGCTCGGTTTTCACCGGCTCTCGTCTGTCAACTCCACCACGTTTCAGACTAAACTCAGCCTGCTCAAATCCAGAATGCACAGCCTTCAAGCCGTGAAGACGCTCCTTGAGCGCTGGAGAAAGCCGGTTATAGGCCTCAACTTGGTTCACGAAGGCAGTATCTCCACCAACCTCAGGGGTATCAAGCACATATAGGAACGTGGTGCCAGGTGGTTGCTGCTCATATGTGACATCAGAATGCCATGCGACACTGCTGTTCTTTGTCTGGAGATATTCATCATATTCCCACGCATTGTTGTTACGGTGAACGAGATGAATCTCAGGATATCCCTCTGGAGCCCCGCTAGTTGGGTGGATATGATGGCGGCCAAAGTAGCCTCCAAAATCGAGGGCCTCCTGGATTGGCAGGTCCGCGAGATCTTGGTCTCTAAAGGCGACAACCTTACGTTGGGCAACGAGCAAAGCGAGCTGATCTTTTCCGGCAGCAGTTAGCTTGCTTAATTGAACGCCTGTAACCTCAGACCCAGTAGTCGGAGTCAGTTTTTGAATCTTGGAGCCCTCAGGGAGAAGATCCTTGAAGGAGGGGTCGGCGTCTTTCCCGTGCTCGACGTGGGTAAAAGGTTCAAGAGGAGGGTATTTCTCGCCATAGTCGTATACAGGCAGGTAGTTTGGATACTGCGTCATTGTCAGGTCAGGCTATATGTGGAGAGATTCAACGGCCTAGCCATGACCTACGCTGGCAGTTGTGTTTCCCCCTTCCTCGTCAATGATTCTTCTCACTCTGGCTTTGGTCTCAGTTGTTCCAGGAGTGGCTTTCACAGGAACAACAACTTCCGCAGTGGTGGTTTGGGCAATAGATGGTGCCATCTTGTGCTGAGATATTGGTAAGTTCTGTCGTTATCAAGTTTGAGCAATTACTCGAGATCTGTGAGCAGCTACTACTTAAATACCAACGGTTCTAGATTTTTATTTCTTTCGCGCCATTTTATTGTAGAATCACGTATGGATTCCTTCGTGTCCGGTACAAGCAACAATCACAAGCCATCGTGTGGAAAGGTCGGTTATACAGAACACATCAACACTAATGCCGTGCTATCCGTCCTATAGAATGACAAATTTAACATCGTAAATCGAGAACTGACCAAAGTTGACGTGCTATCTCTGACAATAACACCATGCGCTTGCCAATGGTCGGAGAAGGTATCGAGTGGTCTTGGGCGCATTGAAATGCTGACATGGCGTGATATGATGCAAGTGACAACCCCGCAAAAGGCTGCCATAGACTATATCCATAATTATGCATATCAGGGTCTTCTATCGGAATGACAGATGTGGCATTAAAATCTAGATAGTAAAATCGCGGTTGTAGGTATTATTTGCATCATTGTTCCGTAAATCAGGCAAATTTGGGAGGGTAAATAACTTGAGGTTCCTAATTTTTGTGGTTCCCATAGAGGAATAATACTGGCAGGAAGCTTTGTCAATTAAACTAATGGACCGCGTGGCGATAACCAGTCGGATGTTTTAATATGTACATTTAAAAACAGGTCAAGTAGCCAAAGTATCGAAAATTTTCATTATCGAGCTACATTGGGATTTTACCTTTCTCTGGGTTGTTATGAGTGGGCATCGACCCTTGACTAGGCCTTGTGAGAAGATATTCAAGGTAAATATGCGCGCATTCCGTGCAGTAAATAGGTGCGGAATGACTGGGATCATCAGACCGAGCGGGCTGCCGAATATTGTACTGGACTGGTGTCCCTCTACTTCACGCAATCGGCTGCTGCATTTCCTGGAAGTGCCAAATCAAGTTCTGTCATTTGAATGGTTGAAGGACAGACACATCTGATACTGTCAGTTGAAGTCTGCAGCCACTGAGAATACCACTGGCTACCCGGCAAATTATGTGGCCTGAAGATTGGAGAAACCAGCCCGCCAAACGGCTCCTGCTCGTCCGATGAAATAATTAGAACTGCGTTATGTGTCTCCTTCGACTTTATGTTATTCGCTGGACGAATCATTCACGACCTTGTTTAAGAAGAGTTAGGGTAGGTTTGTGCATGGCTGGACTGTCACTTTTCGATCGCGTCACGAATTTCATTGTCTCACGGAGGCCGCACGGGAGTCAACCAGGTGTGGAAGCCAATGGATAGGATACTGAGAGGACAGGTGAAGTACAGGAAAGTTCCTAATTGGATTGAGAGCGGAGTTGGAAAAGTGACTTAATAATTCAGAGTAAAAGAGCTCAGGGGGTCAAGGTCAAGGGTTGTTTCCCCAGATTGTAACTCCCTGTCACGTGATAACTAGTGTCCCTATTTGTACTAGAAAACGAGATAAAGAAACGATGTTTTTTTTTTTAAAAAAAAAAAAAAGTCTGGATTACTATCAATCTACTTGGCTTAAAATTCGAAATCTATATATCTGGGTTATAGAAAATAAAAAAATAAAAACTCCAACTCGTATCTCATTTCACAGTCGTCAAAAATAGAAACATAGTCAACTCCACAATGCTAAATATATATATTCCTCAACTTTTCCTTCTTTAATCCCATGTTAAATCTTAGGTTCTTTTTGTTTGATGTTGTAGAAAGCATTTCCAGGCTGAGAATCAAAGCTTTCCTATCATTCATTCTAGTTTCTCCACAATGAAAGCGAGCGAAGAGAGTATAGGGAAATGTAGTTGTAAGAAACGAGCCTTGTGGCTTACAGTCATCCCCTCCGAGGATATATTCTTTGTTGTAGCTATACCGTGTCTTTGAGACCTTGACCCCAAAATCCACTCCATTCTAAGTGTACGTTTTCTCTCTTTCTCCAAAGTATTTCTTTATCTTCCTCGTTAGCGTGGCTCTATTTCTTCCGGTATTTATATATTATTACCCTCTGACTTGGTTGTGCATTCGCATCAAGGCATTTTTAATTTGCGAGACTTAATCTTGATATTATCTTCAACATGTCAGACCGGTATAACTTTCGACGTAGTACTCGTGTGAAGCAACTACCGCCCCACCACCATAGGGGCTCGCCACAAGATCCAACTCCACGCATAGCGCTCAAGATAGAAGAGCTAGACCTTGAAAAATGTTACGTTGGCACTTTCGTGCCACCTGAACGACAGAAGCCAAAGAAAAGCAGACCATGGGCTAAACGGACAGGAACCGACCCCATTACCGACCCTGCTAAGCTTCCTCGGGGGTGGCATATGAAGGAAGACGATCTTGAACTTAAGTGAGACAGCATTGAATTTAATTGTCCATACAAAGAACAAGCTAATTGGAATTTAATAGTGACATCGATGGTCAAATCGAAAGATGCCACGAGAGAATTGCCGAAAATATAATGCCGCATGTTTTTCAGCAAAGGTTACAGGAGTATACAGCTGCAAAGGCGAAAGAGGAGTGAGTCAGCTATCTTGATATTTTTTCCACAGATTCTCACCTTTTTATACTGTAGTGAGATGAGGTTTCTGGGGTATGAAGAGCTCAGCTTGGAGACCATTCGACGGGTGCATGAATTGGAAATGATGAAGACATATCTGGCGAGCACTACGGATGACTACCAGCAACTTCCAAATATCGAGGCTCTCTTAGAAGCATATAAATCGGGGGAGCTGGATTGGAATACCGGCCTTGTTACATATTGGTTGAAGGGCACTCGGATTTCTCAACCAAGACCCTTTGACTGGGATGAATTTGAAGCGATTAATTCCCACTACCAGGATTACAAAGGCTTTTGGGTGGAAGGGGTAATTGATCTCTTTAGCCTTCTGACAACGACTCACTAATGAATAACATTAGATCTGCGGTCTTGAAAATGAGAGCTCCTATGCAGCGATCACACTACTTCCACATTCACAATATGACAAGCTGATGGGCGTAAGATCCATACTTATTGCACAACCCCCTTCTATGTTTTGCTAACTATTTTATCTAGTTGTCTTTAGCAATCCGTCTTCCGGGAATAGCGTGGTTTGCCGAGTTGGAATTTGTCCACGATACTGGGTGCAGTAGGCTTACCATGTTC